CCAGCCAGTTGGAAGTGAACCAGTGTTTTCTTAGGGTGGCAGAACAGTCGGAAAAGTTGTTGGATTATTTTTGGCAGTGACCAGCACATTATAGCTCTATCATTACTGGTACTAAGCTCTCCAGAGTTCACTGAAAGGGTTAGTACTTAGTAAAGTACATTCCTGCAAAAGTACAGCATACTTGGTCTGTAGAATGGAGCTTTGGATTTTGGAACTCTGACCTTTCTGCCCAGTTGATAGCAGAGTAATCAGTATGGTAGAACCTGAGCTATGACCCACAGACAGCAGCAAACCCAGAGTGGCCAAATCACCACATGAGCATTGCACAACGACACCATGAGCACGTAACAGATGACTCCTCTGCCCTCCACTGATGAAAATGGGCTGGGAAGATTTCAGTTAGAGTTTTAAATATCAAGCAGCTTGTACTTGGATGTTGGGAAGAGCCAAACTCAGTGGTTGCCATCACTGGCAGCCAACTCTCCTGAGGACAGACACTGTGCAGGTGTAAAACTAATCCAGCTCATGCTTTGGCATCAGCAGCATGTTCTCCCTGGCCAATGCACTTCAGTCTCCACACTGAATCCAGCAGGATTTTTGCAGCACAGAAGTACCTTAGACAACCTCTATGCACCTCATTAAATGGAGTGACTAAGCTATTTGAGATTAATAAAATCGTAATTCTATCACTTTTAGTGTCGCTCACAAATTTACAATCAGAAATGTACTTTGCTGAGAAGGTGCTGGATTGAATTGGTGAAGAAAATCCTTTAACTGAGGTCTGTATGACTGTTCACAGTGTAGTTATTCCTGACCTCACAGTAGCAAGATGACTTAAGTATGAGCCTTCATGTCTCTCTGTTCAGTTCTTCTCAAATATCAGCCACGGTCAGACAATCCTCTGCCAATAAATGGCATTCTGTGACTCTCCTCCTGAATTTATTTGTAACCAGACAGATGCTGGGAGGTGTGAGCCCTCCTTTGTCCATCAAACTGAGCTCAGGCAGTGCCCTCAGCAGGTATTGCTACACCACACTGCATCACTGCTGCTTTTGGTCAGCCTGGAAGTTCACTGAGAGGGGTGGAAAGCAGTGGATTCTTAACCACCATCTGGTAAAGGTGCTGAATCAAGGCAGCCCTGTTACAAATGTGCTGCTCTGCAAAGTCTGGAATCACTTTAGCCAAACTCTACACTATAACAGGTAAAAGGCACAGCTCAGAGAGCCAAGCGAGTGGGTTTGTGTGTGTGCTCCTGCTGTCAGGTGGGAAATGGTACTGAAAACATTGGTTTGCTGGCTAATTATTGAAACAAATACTTCTACTTCTAGTGAGACACAGCATAAACAACTGCCAGCCTCAGCTCTGCAGCCCAAGGGGCCCGATGGCATGCTGCAGCCCACCCCGGCTCAGCTCTGGATGAAATAAAGACCTTGCTGGGGGAGCAGTTCTCTGTGCAGTACACTCAGAGGTAAGCACAGCTCTCACCCTGCTCAGAGCAGGCTCAAAGTGTCTCTGACCAGTCTCACGCAGCAGCTACACAGGAGGAAATGTTTCAATGCCGCTCGACCAACATACAAGGGAGGTTTAGTACAGGTTTTGTAGTTTTGGCATTGAAATGTCTGTGAGCACTGAAAGAGGTGCCCAGGGAGGGCATGGAGTCTCCCTCTCTGGAGGAATTCCAAACCCACCTGGAAGTGTTCCTGTGTCACCTGCTGTAAGTGACCCTGCCTTGGGAAGAGGTTGGACTGGATATTCTCTAGAGGTTCCTTCCAACCCCAACTGTTCTGTGATTCTGTGACCAATGTCACCACCAGACATCCATGTGCCACCAGCACCAGAACTGGCAGCTCTGCATCTCCCTGCAAGTTCAGGTGGCTGCACGTGGCATCCAGTGTGAACCTCCTAGAAAGCACCACGAAAAGCTCTAGTAACTAAGGATTGGGTGAAGTTTAGCTATAGGATCATGGAATGCTTTGGGTTGGAAGGGACCTTAAAGCTCATCTTGTTCCACCCCCTGCCATGGGCAGGGACACCTTTCACTAGCCCAGGTTGCTCAGAGCCTCATCCAACACACCAAAACAACCTGTAAAACACTTGTTTTACAGCAAGGACCAGCAAGGACCAGCAAAGGAGTCCACAACCCTCACAGCCTAAGGCACACCTATTCTTTGAATATTTTCTCTTGCTTGTGTTGTCATCAAGCCTTGTCCACCTTTTGGTTTTGTGTGACCTTCGACTCTCCACTAATTTAATAGCTGATAACAAGATTTAATTTTGAATCTTCAGAAGAACTCCTATGTATCCCAAAAACATTTTATCTGTTTGGGCCACGCTCCACAGAATGTTTTGCCACAAGGAGAGAAAACACAAGGCAGTTTAAAAAAAAAATGCAGGCAGGAAAGATCTTTCTGATTTGTATTAGGAACCTTAAAGCAATAATCTCAGCACATGCAACACAAGAAACCCAGAGAAGGGAGATCAATGCGGTGACATTTTAGAGCAGAGAATCTTGTACAGCACAAAACCAGAACCAGCTCTTTGCTGACATTGCAATGTCTCATTCCTATAGAAGGAAATAATAAAAAAAAGGGTTTATGTCTAAACACAATAGGTTGAGGCTGCTATTGGCATGGCTAAATTGTGCCTGGATTTTGTTCTGCAAACCTTTTCCATTAACATTTCTGTCGGGAAAGCTAACTCTTTAGAGATGTAATGAAGCATCTGATTTTAATTTGGTTGTAGAACAAGGGGTTACTCTCTGGATGGTGCACAGCCAAGCTCAGAGCTACACCCAGCTCTGTTTCCTTATACAGACCATGCTGACTGCTCCAGCACGAGCAGCACGTGGGAAAGCAGCAACCCTCAGCCTTGCTCTAAGCAAATTAAAGTAGCTTTGGAACAGGAAGGATTTTCTCTGTGACAAAGATTTGACTCTTTTCATCATCATTTTGCCCCCAGTTCCTCCAGCCCAACTGTTGCTCAGACAAGTGCTTATGTGGCTTTTGGCCCTTCTCTTTCATTCCTCCCCTTGATGCAGGGAATGCATCTCCACCCTCTTCAGTCACTACCTTCACTTGGCACCTCCTGCTGATTTCCTAAATGTTTGCTCAGCCCTGCACAAACCCTGCTGTTTATGTCATTTCAGCTCCTGTCTGAGATAAGACACAACAGATCCTATGGGACATCTTAGGGTTTTTCTGCATTTTCTACAGGATTGTGCTCTAGCAAAGCTCAACCCCTGGTCGACTCCTTTAGCGCTGCTTGGGCTTCTAGTCTGAGAAAGCTGAACAGACAGGGGGGAACTGCTACAATAATTGACCCACACCCAGAAAAAACATTAAGACTTGCTGGGAAATCACAGTGGAGCCTGAATCCTTCTTTACAAAACCCTGTTTGTCCAGGGGATGGATGTGGGGCTGCCTGCCTGCTGGCTGGACACCGCAGAGCTCAGAGCCAGCTGAGACATGTCAGGAAAACAAGGCAAAGAGACGGGGAGGAGCCTCACTTGGGCTTTTCTGTTTATCCCCTGTCTCTGCTTATTAAGCCTTCACAGAGGAAACACAATGTCTGCCCTTCACTGCAATTTCAGAGCCTTTTCGAGCTGCTCTCGTTCCCAACATGTGGCTGAATTAGTCAGCACACTGTAGTTGCCCAACGAGGTATTGCTGCTGCTCTTCCAGCAGAAAATTGCTCCTAGTAAAGGTTTAGACATTTGGCTTATGCTTTTCCACACCTAAACAGATGTTGCATATCCTCTGGATCGAAGGAGCACTAGCACTGGCACCACATCTGCTGTGCAGGAATGTTTGGGGAGCTTCTTGCACGTGGCATTCTGAGACAAGGCAGGTGTTTCCCCATCCAGAATTCCCAGTATTAGGGCCACAACATCTTTAGCTGCACTGTACCTAAGATGCCAATGCAGAGGGACCCATGGTGATCCTATATAATATCCATATTCGCCCTTGATATGGAAAAAATCCCACCTACCCTTGTGACACTTGACACCTGAGCTCCTTGAGGAAGGAGCCTGGGGTTTATCTGTCCCAAATCAGCCATGTGGTGTGTCCTGCAAGAGCAGATGGGATAGCTGGAGGCTGCTGAGCCAGGCTGAGGTGGAGCCTGTCCTCATGGCAGGTGAGCTGAGCATGTCATAATGGCACAAAGTGCTGGCTTGGTGGTCCCTACCCTAGGCCCCAAGGACACCTCTGCAGACAAATTTAGGGAATGGACAGCTGTTTTAGCCACGGGGACACTGCTTCTGCTTTCACTCCTCTGCAGGGTATTTGCAGCCAAGAGAGCAGGCCTGGCCAAAAAGGTTGCTGCAAAACTCACTAGAGATCTGCCTCCTGGGAACATGCAGTCACCATCTGGTCTCCACATTCATAACACCAAACAAGTGCTTCATAAACAGTGCTCTAATAACAAATACCAGAGGAATTAATAATAATCTCGCTATTATTTTCTAATGTTCTCGCTTTCTGAAGAACATTTATGCTGTCTGAACGAGCTCTTCCGGAAGAACAACATCTGGCACCCACATGAATACCTGATGAAATCCGGATGATGCTGGGGATCCCTGGATATTTCTTGCCAGTGAGAGCCTCGTTTTGTGCCACCGTGGCTCACAGTAACAGTGCCTTTCTCTTTTGTTCTAGGTGCATAGCGTAATGTCCATGCTGTACTACACTCTGATTGTAGCTTTTTTGATCGGCACACAGGCAGCTCCAAAGTCAGAGGACAATGCTCCACTGGAGTATCCTGCAGAACACTCCCTGCTCAATACCCAGAGGAGCAACAGACACCACGTTCCAGTTCCACAGACATCCCACGGCCAGGCCACGTGGCTCAACAGCAGAAGGGAAGCTATAAATATCACCATGGACCCCAAAATCTTTAGGAAGAGGCGATTCCGGTCTCCTCGGGTGCTGTTCAGCACGCAGCCCCCTCCAGTGACAGGGCAAGGACAGAGTTTGGGATTTCTCAGTGGGACAGGAGCTCTCAACAGGACTGCCAGGACCAAGAGGAGCACACACCCCGTGCTGCACCGAGGAGAGTTCTCGGTGTGCGACAGCGTCAGCATGTGGGTCGGGGACAAAACCACAGCCACTGACATTAAAGGCAAAGAGGTGACAGTGTTGGGAGAGGTCAACATCAACAACAATGTCTTTAAGCAGTACTTTTTTGAGACCAAGTGCAGGGACCCTAAGCCTGTGTCCAGCGGGTGCCGCGGGATCGACGCGAAGCACTGGAACTCCTACTGCACCACCACACACACCTTTGTCAAGGCTCTGACCATGGAGGGCAAACAGGCAGCCTGGAGGTTCATCCGAATCGACACAGCCTGTGTGTGTGTGCT